TTTGCAAAAGCACCTTTATTATCCGAATTAAAACAAATGTTATCCGAGTTAATGCAAATATTTAATATATAGTACTAACTCAAGAATATAAATTTTTTTAATAACCTAATAAGTAATATATAAATTTTTTTAATTACCTAATAAATAATAATATTATAATTTGCTTTATTTTATTGGAATTCAATTTGATTATTTCCTAAAAAGAGGTGTCTTCACATCCAATGAAATAAGAACCAAAATGATATTTTGTATATGGAATTGATTTTTTGTGTGTTAGAATATTATGTGAAATTGAGTTGTTTTTGTAGATCTTTGAGATATATACAGAAGTCCTAGCACGATTTGTTGATTGAGGCTTTGTAGATCAAGTTGTTCGAGATGTTCTCAATGGATCTACTGAAAATTAATTTTTGGGTAATATTTGCGATATTGTTGATTTTTTTATCTATTCTCGGTCATTTCTTTCAATGTGTCTCATTTTGTAGATAAATCTCTTATCTCATGAAACCGTAACTTTATTTCTTGATTGTAGAGGAAATGGAAGGTTATTTACCTTGTAGATTGCTGAAAGATCTATAAAAACAAACAAAAATTCCACATAATAATAAAACACCTCAACTCCACTTTGAAAATAAGGAGAACATGATGGAAATGATCGAAAATGTAGGCAAAAGTCGAAAAGAGAACCAAAGGCAAAAATAATGAAGAGAAATGCAGAGAAAACAAAATTGCTTACTTTGAAAACCCAAAATTTTGTTTTCACAGTAGATCCGTTGAGAACATCTCGAAAAAACTTGCTCTACATAGCCTCAATCAACAAATTATTTAGGGCTTCAATAGATCACTCAAAGATCTATAAAAATAACTCCATTTCACATAATATTCTAAACAAATAAAAATCAATTCCACATATAAACTAAAGAGACCATGATGGAAATGACTGAAATGTAGGCAAAAGCAATAAAAAAATGCATAAAAATGCAGAGAAAATAAACGGTTATTTACCTTGTAGATCACTGAAAGATCTACAAAAACCAACAGAAATAACTCAATTCCACATAATGTTAAAAAATAAATAAATAAATAAATAAAAGTAAACTTCACATAGAAACTAAGAAGAACAGGATGAAAATGAACGAAAATGTAGGCAGAAGTAATGAAAAAATATAGAGAAACGGAATATTACTTACCTTGAAAACCCAAAATTCTGCTTTCACAATAGATTCGTTGAGAACATCAAAACAACTTGATCTACAGAGCCTCAATCAACAAATCATTTTAGGACTTCTATAGATCACTCAAAGATCTACAAAAACAAACAAAATAACTCAAATTTCACATAATATTCTAAAAAAATAAAAATCAATTCCACATAGAAACTAATGAGAACATGATGGAAATAACCGAAATGTAGACAAAAGCAATGAAAAAAGGCAAAAGTTTATATAAAGATGCTACCTTATAATGTAAAACTACCGATGCCCCTCAAAAATCCATCGAAAAAAGTAGTTTTAATGTTGAAAAACCCTTTGATTGATCATCTCGACATCGAGATGTATGACTATGAAAAATAAAAAGATTTTAAGTCTCAAAAATAGTGCATTTTACAACATATTATCTACACCGTCCATTTTCAAGATTTTCATATGTTTATAGTATCTAC